TAGCGTAACAATTGATTTTTATCAAAGACTATGCTCTTTATAACAAATGTTCAACATGTCGACCTTCATTCATTAACAATACTTTTACAACAAAGTAACAACAAAGAACAAACAATTCATACAACAAAGTCGAATATGTATGCATACACGTTCGTGCCTGCGGAGCTGTGGTTGTGGAAGAGATATAAGAGCACCAGGAGTTTTCGGCGATTTTGTACTCCTTCACGACATTCGCCATGTTTTTTTACCAAGAGATGGGTAAATTTTTTATAAAGTATCAGGTAAAATGTGTACCACGAACGTTAGGATGACGGAATAAGATGGAGAATTGGAGGTAGATTGAACGCATGCTAATCACAAACGCAGGCGCTACAGAGCTCAATGTATTCCCCCAGTGTCGCCTGCAATTTGTGGAAACAGGACACTGGATCCATATCGAGAAGACCTGAATAAGGACTATCAAGTTCTACAACGACGAATGAGGATCTTTACTTCGCACTTTCAGCGCGACGACACAGAACTGCTGCAGCTTCCCAACTCTCACGTGAGCTGTATGTTGTCAACGATACCCGAGTTTCACGGTCTACAGTTGCACGAAGGTTTATGAGGTAGGGCTGTATTCTAGAAGCCCAGCTGTTTGCGTCCCGTTCACTGCTTCACTGCAGCTCACAAGATAGTGCGTTTAGCATGCTGCAGACAACATGCGGCTTGGATTAGGCTTCCGTAGAGCATTGTGCCTTTTACAAATGAGTCGAGATTCAACCTGGACCCTGATTCTCGGCGTACCTGTATGTGAAGAGAGAATGAAACACGATAACATTCCTCCGTCATCACGGAAAAGGATCATTACGGTGGTGGAGGTGTAATGATTTGAGCAGGCATTATGTTGGACAGCCGCACACTCCTGCATATGTTGGATAAAGGCTCTCTGACTGCTAAGAAGTACAGACAGGAGATCTTAGAGCCCTATGTTTGACTTTTCAGGGGTGCAATTGTCCTGACTTCCTGTTCGTCCACATAGGGCTCAGCTTGTCGACGATTACTTGGAACGTGAGGACATTCTCCGCATGTATTGGCCAGCTATATCTCTTGATCTTAACCCTAGGTAATATGTCTGAGACGTTCTTGGAAGGACAGTTTCATTTCGTCATCCTCCTTTTTGAGTCATTCCGGAGGTGAAAGCTGCCTTGCTACAGGAGTTGGATCGACTACTACAAGGATTCCTGAGCTGCCTCCTGTCCAATGTGTTCTCACGTCACTCGACCTTTCTGGCTGTGAGAGTACAGAACTTTCTGGTTGTCATACTCCATGTTAGACTCATTTTCTGTTCAATATCGCAACGTGCATTTTTGATATCCCTTCACTATGAGTTTTACTGATAATCATGCTTACATAAAATGACTTTTGAATTGTACATCTCGTTCTCTGCTACAGATGAGTATTCATAAAAAATTCCTTAAAATTTGTCCATTGTTTTTCAGAAATTCAACATAATGTGCAAATTCTCTCAACTTTGCACACAAGTGCACATCTCGGCTGAAAAATTCTTCTCTAACTCTCCTACCTATATACAATAATGTGTGTTAAATATAAATCTTAGTGTTAAAGATAATAATTTTGTAGCAATTCATAAATTTCAAAATCTTTGCCAGAGCTCCCCAATTTGGAATACCCATACACTTCTTCGGAAGATGATGCGTGGCATTTAAGCGTTAACACAAAAAGAGACTTGATATCCATATTTATATGTATCAAATTTAATGAGTTAATATATTTGTAAGAATGGTATTATAACTTTTTAGCAGAGCATTAATCAAATATTTCCTAACGAGTACAGAGCATAGAAATGGTTGGTAACCAATAATCTATTTTTTCCACTGTTAAGGAAACACGTGAATTTATTAGCTTGGAATGGTGACTATTATTTTTATTTAAAACGACATGCGAAATATTTGTACCATAATTTATTATTTTATGCTAAGTACAAGGAATTACTAAAATCACGCCAAAAGCCAGTAACTACATTTTGTATACTATTCTGTATACCAAATAATGTTTATTTCGAATGCCATTTATTTGCCAATGTTTGATTACGACCTATATCTAATTGACCGCTGATCAATGATGAAAGTACGGAATGAACGTTATCTAAGAGTGCTGAAAACCCTTTCTTCGGTGACCGGAAAAATGCCCACAGGAAAAAAGCTCACAGGAAAAATGCTCACAGAATAATGCTCACAGGTATAAAAGCTCACAGGAAAAAAGCCCACAAGGCAATATGCCCACATAGAAAAAAGCTCACGTGGAAAAAATGCTCACTTAGAAATATGCTCACACAAAAAAGGCTCACATGAAATATGTTCACATGGACAATGCTCACATTAACCTTTTCTGGGGCGGTAAATATAAGCATGAAAACTGCAGTAAAATTTTGCATGTACTGTAATATTTTATACCACTGCCCCTGTACGACATTTTTTTCCTGTAGCTGTCAATAATTAATTTTTGTTTCTTCGCTCTATTTTTGCATACTTTTGATGTGTACCGATAGAAATTGATGTTTGAATGTAGTTGTTCAAATTTGGAGCCAAAAAAGTTGTAAAATTTCTGCAGAAATTTAAAATTTTAGAAATAAAATTAACATTTTTAGGCACTTTGATGATACCTCTCAGTTGAACATTATGAAGCAACCTTCGAGAAATCTCTCCTAAAATAACAAATTGTTGCGAAGGTTCTCATAACGCACTAAATCCTTATTTAATTGTAGCCATCCCAGTATGTGGTTTTTATTTGACGGACTGGAAAAAGATTTAGCCTCTCAACGTTTGTTATTAGCTAATGTAAATACAGGATGTACTGAAGTAAAAAAAAAAAAAAAGAAAACATGAAAACTTACATTTGGTAATCGTGAATCATGTAAGAAACTATGATGAAATCGATGATAAAATTAAATATTTTACGTAATTTAAATAAAATAATCATTCTAAACTCTCATTCATTATTCATTATTCTTCTAAATGTTTATATTATAAAATGTGTAACTTATATTTATTATTTTTTTTTAACAATTAAAAATTGTAATAATTTTTCACTGGCATAATTCTGTTTCATTTTTATTTTACTTCCTTTCTCCCTCTCCTTTTCTTATTCAAAATGGCCCATTTGTTTGTTAATCTGAACTGAAACTGAATCTACACATAATGTGAATTATATCAGTGGACTTATTTCCAAGTGAGCATACTTCTGTGTGAGCTTTTTTCCGTGTGAGCATATTTCTAAGTGAGCATTTTTCCATGTGAGCTTTTTTCTATGTGGTCATATTTCTGTGTGGGCTTTTTTCCTGTGAGCATTATTCCTGTGGGCTTTTTTCCTAGAACCCTTTCTTCGGTTACTCTGCTAAGCCCAATACGAGCCATTTATGACTTCAAGAAAGATTAATTTCTAGTTATGAAGACATCGCTTGGCTGCCTCAGGACCCCTCTCTAATCAATGCTGAGTTTTTCTTTAACAGTATCTCCAGCAAAAAGAAGAAAAAAAAAAAAAAAAGCTTTCATATTTCATATTACGCCCAAAGGGACTTTTTTTTTTTTAACGTTTTGTGTATTACCTTTATTTATTAAATATCATGTTCTTCGCCCTTAAACCATAAAATTCAATTCAACAGCAGTATCCTAAAATAATTTTAAAAGAACGTTGCCATTGCTCGCTTTGAAATCGTTGAGTTTGTTAATCAAAAATTCGTTAAAGTTGTACAAAATATGAAATAGATAATAAAACAAATTCTAGATCCCAAATTTGGGCTTCCAGATACCCATATTCGAGTGGAGGACTACATTATTCAGAATTTGATAGCTCTAGATACCGTTGTTTTTTTACAGTGCGAGAAACATGCATACATTCATGCACATTCTTCATTATTTAATTTCTTTAAATATAATGCACGGCTCTAATATTTGGTGGCAAAAATTTGAAAAGTGAAATGCCGTTTATAGTGAAACTCCACAGAATGCCAAAACGAAACTAATAGTCTGAATATAATGTGCTGCAAAAAAGGAATCATCAGGGTTGTGTCATCAGTATCCTTGGTAATATGCTGTAAGATTCTAATCTTTAAGTTACAGATAAAAATTAGAAACCTTAAGAACTGGTAAGCGAATAATCGCTCAGTTCAGTAGACAGAAAGCAGGACTCAAGAAGGGTTAAATACCCTTTATTATTCGAAATAAATTTAACAGTCGACTCCTTCTTGGAGTTTACAACAAAGCCTCCACTCGGGCTTGAACTCAGGAATACTAAGAAATAAAACTTATCTAGAAAGATATAGCCGAAGCTATCAAGATTCTACTAGAATTGGCCCCTTAACGCTAACGGCGAAGCTATGAAGGGCCTAAAGTACGGCCGATCGTAAAAATAGCTTAAGAGAAAGTAGCCTAAAAGGCGAACGCGCGCTGCTCAGAATCTCTGGCTCCCTAACGAAGTCAGTAGAACTTCAACTTTATTGTTCTTTCTTCATTTGCATTTGACTGCGCTTCTAAAAACACGTTCTGGCCGGAAATTGTAAGTTGAAATTAAGAAGCGACAGGAAAGTGGCTTAAACTAAACGCTAACTGTTATAACCTTACAACGTTACTTTGAGTAACATATTAAAAACTATCTATCAAAACAGCTTTTAACGCCACTTTGGAAAATACGACGTAAAGCTGGTCTATGATTTGATAGACTTTTAAATATTAACTGATAAATGGTATTTCTGAACGGTACTTTTGTGTTATAGCGTCCACCATGAAACAAAATCCTCGAATCCTCAAATAAAGATCATTTAAAAAAAAGAAAAAAGAAAAAAAAAAAAAAAAAAAAATTGCCGATAAAAACAGCTTTTTTTCAGTAAGCAAGTAAGCAGTAAGTCTTAACTTCATTGTTTACATTATTAATTTATCAGTTAGTATCATTAGTAACAAACGGCATTTTTCTACATTCTCAAAATGATTCTTCTTACACAGAGTTTCTGGGACTGGTGTCGTCAACCAGAAACGCAAAACGAAAGAAGAAATTTCTTGGGAGATTTCGCATGCTTCGCTTTTCTCACTCCTTTGGGTATTGCCACATTCTGGCTGTGTGCGGAAGGAGCGATCTATTACCAAAAAGTGAAGAATTCGACGCTTGAAACTGTGGCACTTGTGATTCTAGCTTTATTTTTAGTCTTCGCATACCTCACTTGGATCACACTCTGTTCCAGGTAAATTATAAAAAGAAGCTTTCAGTTTAGAACATAATACAATGCACTTTGTGAAATAATCTAACATTTTCGGAAAAGTTATGCTTCCTGAACTGTGAGAAAGTAAATTTCTTAATTTTTCAAATACCCTTCAGCACTTTGTTTCTGAAACCTTTTGCTGCAATTAAAGCCTGACAATGATTTAGTTCAGCAAATGTTACAGTATTAGACTGTATAATAGCTGCATTTAGTTGTATTTTTCTACGACTTCTTTAAACTAACAAGCTTTTTTTTTATTTTTTTCTAAAAGTTTTCGAATAGGTTTAGATTAAGGCTAGTGCCTGACCATTCTAGCAATTCAGTATCATTTTCCTAAAACCACGTTTTGCATTAAGAAGAAATATGACAAGACACAGAGTGCTGTTAAATATGAAAATTTCACTATGAAGGAAGCGTTTTGAAGTTCACAGTATTAATTTTCATTCAAGTATATCACTATTGTATTTTTGTTATTTAAAATGCCACTTAATCACATGAATTCTTCTACCACGGGACTTGCTATTATAAAATTCCATACCTTAATATCATTGGATGCCTCACAGGTATCTTCACTCAGGAAGCATATCTTCTCTAATTAGTTTAATGTACAAAACGGAAAATAAAGGGGGGACAGTTCTATATATCTCGTTCTACTGGGCCGATTGACGAAATTCAACTTGTGTTTTTCATGTCTCGAAAGCGCGACCTAGGATATGTATTACATTTATATATAGCATTGTTCTAATATAGATATTTGAACACAAAATCGGACCTCTTCTGAAATCATATGCCATTTATTTTTCCATATTTCGATTCTATCACTCAAATTACGACAAACTGCTAAGTTTTGTAAAAATCGCACGAGTTGTTTTTAAAATATTAGCTCTCAAAATTTTAGCTCCTCAATGTTAATTGAGTTTGGTATATATTTATTAATATCTCTCTTTTATTAAACTTATTTGATTCTTCCTTTCACATTTCGAAATTTAGGTTCATTCCAAATAACATTCGTCCATTTTTTTATTTATTTTTAAAATTTGTATTTTTAAATAATTTTTATAAATTTTTTGAAAAATGTTTTAGATTCTAAAATTTTTACCATCATCTTAAAGTAGATGCATTTCTAATCATACCTGCAAAAAATTACAATTTTGTATTTGGTAAGACCCGCATAACGCTCAGCGCCATTGAGTGCGTGCTGAGACTCGATGGAAGTTGCTCGATGGATGATGTGCGATTTCTGAGATTGAGATATTATTATATTTAATTAAATCAATTTATATTTTATTGATTGGTAATTATTAATTTTAATTTATTGATATGAGATGTGATATTTTGTTTTGCTGAACCACCACAATTTCGACAAACTTGGATTACCACTGAATCTTAAAACCACCGATGCGCAGTATTCAAAATTTAAAAGATATACGTGAATTTATATGTTGGCGCGCCTTGAAATTTGGAATATTTGTTGAAAGCGATAACAACATCAAATGTGGTTTAGGCACTTTGTTAAAATTATTTGAAAGAAGGAACGATGTGACTTTTTTTTCCTCTCATGCACAATGTAAAAAAGTAGGAACGAAGTGACTTTTTTTCCCGGTCCTGTACAATGGAAGGGAAAGGAAAATGGGTTGCTATATATTAAGAAGTTAACCAAGTGCACTATTCTTGGCGCAAACTGAAAAAAATACGCCAAGATAAATTTATGAATTTCTCCACAAATTTCGCACGAAATTTTACAAAATTAAATATTTAGGCATAATTTGAATCGTAGAATCAAAATATGGGAAAAAATTAGTATGTTATTTCAGAAAAGTTCCATTTTTTTGTCAAAAGACTTATGTTAGAACAATGCTATATATAAATCTAATATTTCTAATCTAAAAATGCAATTTGAATTTCGTCAAACGGCCCAATAAAACGGGAGATATAGTTTTTTTTTCTTCCCCCGCATCATTCTCCCATTATTAGACATAGATATTCTGGTTTCTTCATAGCAGATTACATTGGTCGATTCTTATTCTGATGAATTAATGTGCTTCTCAAACCATTCTGAATTTTTTTTTGTGTGTGAGTCTTTCTTCAAGTGATAAAAACTCTAGCACGTAACCCAAAATTTTAGAATCTGCATTGAGTAAATTAGCACCTATAATTACACCACATTCACATGAATAATTTTTGATTGCCTCAGATTATTTTCTTTTGTCATTCAAACACAGTTTTTAATTCTTTCTACGTGTTGTTGATTTTGGCTTAACTTTACTATAAAATCAGGCAAAGTAACAACCTTGTGTTTGGCATGGATTTTAATCATGATTCTATCGATTCCAGGAGCAAACAGGTACAGAACCCTCTTCATTAGAAACAAAGAAATTTAGCAAATTTCTGGCAGATTTCTTTGTACATTTTGAAGAAAAAAAATCTTTCCAATAATCCATAGTTTAAAATGATTTTTTTTCTTTAAAAACCTTAAAGAAAGTATAAGTATTCATATTTTAAAAAATGCATATTTTGTAAAAGGTTTCTTTAGTATTGGATATTATTGTACAATAAGTAGCTGTACAGAAACGTTGGTGAGGTATTAGTGAAAGGTTGTTGCAATTTGGTATCAATATACTCTACATTCATAGGAAAGATATAAGGCCAATTTATTATTCAAATACAATCTATATATTAGTTCCACACCATAAAATTTAAAATTAACTGCTGCTGAAAATTATAAAGGTTCTAATAACGACAAAGAGACATATTTTTCTTTAGCTTTATGATGCGCTCTTGAAAAACTGTACAAAACTTAACACTGCTCCAAAGCGAATTAAAGATAACTTCAATAAGGATTTCTACTATAGATTTATTTTATTTTCTTAGGTTAAGATGTTTTAAAATTTACTCACTTTTTCTAAAATATTGCCCATGCTACGCTTCCCTTGCTGCTAGCTTTGCCAAAAATATATTACATAATAAAAAATAATCATAAGCTGATTGGGTATAAGGTGTAACAAAAAGATCACATATGTACCACACAGAATGGATTTAATTTAAGCTTAGTATTACAAATATATCTCCAAACAGAAATTTTTTCTACCACTTCCCCCAGATATCATCTGACAATATGGAACCGATGGCGAGATCATAACTGGAACGTGCGCATCGTTGATCGGACTGGACGTGATGGAAACGTAGAGGATGCTCAAGAGACTGCTATTAACATTCCTCTTCAATCCAGCGAAGACCTACTGCGCCCAATAATCCTCCCTCCGGAACTGCCAATTAGAAACCAACCTGAACCAACGTTACCCAGAGATGAATCGCCTATGGAACCCACACGCTGTCTACCGAACTTTCGTTTATTATATACTTCTCGAACGTCAAATGTGTAATATTCCTAAGTGTCTCCAATAAAGTATGTTCTCATAGAATGCCCTTTAATTTCTTAAAGATTTTCTGAATTATAAACATCACAATTACCCTGAAATGGGATACACTAATCAGAGAAGTGAGTTTTCTCTCATCATAAGGACACATGAATAATGGTGAGATATGTCATAAAGATCATACAAAATAAATAACATTTAATCTCCGAAGTTTTCTGTGCTACTGTACCGCAAAGAAAAAGTTGAAGACACATTGTTAACGGTAACAATGCAACAAACTTTCAAAGTTTTTAATCGACTTAATTCGTAACGAATCCGCTTTTCATAACTCAGCAAATATCAATCCTGTAATTCAGCCCACACCAACTTTAGCGTTGCTGGTTCATCTAACTTCAGACAGCTATCGGTAAAGCACTGCATCAGTTCCACACCGATACTGGCACTCAAAAGTTTCAGAAAAAGAATTCATGTGGCATTAAATGCGATGACCGAGGTGACCAGGCAGGATGCGCATAATCTATGACAGCGACTTGGCCAATCCACCGGTGTCGTCTAAGATGTGGTCAAGAAAGGGAATATATCATAAATTACGAAGGATAAAAAAACGAGTATGCTAGAGATCATAGTGGAGATAAGAAAGTTGTTTTCAGGTCTCGTTGAATATCACAGTATATCAATACATACATATTTTTCTTTTTAATTTCGCAGAGGGTTGAACGATACTTTATTGACAGACACCTTTAAAAAAATTGACTTATGGAAGAAATTTACACACAAGTTTATTTTTTATCTCAAGAGAAAAATAGTGAACATTCAGCTTAAATAATTCGTAAGGCTAATGTTAAGTGTATTTAATAAAATTTCGGGGAAACTGAAATTAGAAGGAGGAAATTTCTCTGCGCTCAGAATGCACGTAAATTATTATTACAATCAAGTTCGTATACTTTCTTGGACATATTACAATCTCACCATACAGGAACCTTACATCACAGTTTCCGATAGAAATTTTGTTTTGGAGGAAGGGGAAATTGTTATTGTTGGTTCTATCGTGTACTGGCTTTTTATGACTTGCGACTGAGCTTTTTCATTGAAATAAATTCGGAAATCGTTATTTCCTTTATATGGTATTCATATGACTTTTTAACTAAAATTTATAAAATCATTCTAAGCAATAAGTATCCATGTTAAATTCATTCAAATTTAAAATTAATAAAAAAATTTCAATTTAAATGCATAGAAAAATAATCCCAAAAAATATTAATCAGCTTCCTTTAACTTTACAAAAGGATGAATCAGAAAAAAAAGTGACAATTAAAAAACGATTAAAATTTCAGAAAATTATCGCAATTGGATTATTGAATATGGTAGAGCTCAGTGAAGCTCTGTCACATTCAAATAATCCAATCCTTCATATAGGGCTTTCTGAGAGAAACTGTCTCCTATACATGTAACATTGCAAAGAAAACTTATGCATCCAGCCCATTCGATGTGATTCAAACCCACAAGCTAGGACCGATTATGCATATGAAATATATTTTAAAGTATACAGTTACTTAAAAGCAGTAAGTACCTAATAATAAATTTTGAAATACTTATAAATAAGGTGTGATATTTGAAGGTCTCCATAACAAAAATCATTGTTCTTTACTGAACCTTATGCAATTATGCTCTAATAAACTCAAAATTTGCATATCTCTATTTCTGTCGGTCTTTTAAGCCCGAGATTTTATTATTTATCTTGAAATATACACTACTGGCCACCGTAAATGCAACATCCTGAAAGAAGCATGCAAATAACATGAAATTTACAACATGCATTAGCGGAGGTGTGATATGCAAACGATTAGAATTTCAGCGCTGACGCATATCACGCGCGCCTGTGGCGCCACTTCAAAGCGCTATTTAAAGCTTGGAGTTTTTGACGATTTTAAGTTCGGCAATTGTGTTTTTCTTTTGGTTTTTTTCCAAAAAAAAAAAAAAAAAAAAAAAGAGATCTTGTATGCCTCGTAGTAAACAGCGATCCGAGTTCGTCAGAGGAAGGATAGTGGCCTACCGAGAGTGTAGATTATCTTTCAGGGAAATCGGTAGTCATGTTGGACGAAACCAAACAACCGTAATGCGGATATGTGACCGTTGGATGCAGGAGGGTACGATGGACCGACGTGTTCGATCGCATCCACTTCACTACTTCAGGTGATGACAGGAACATTGTGCGCATAGCAGTGACGGATCGCTCAGTCACATCACGAACCATAGCACAGCACATTCAGTCTGTAACGCATCATTCAGTGTCCGCGCGTACCATTCGACGCCGTTTACAACAGAGTGATCTGTCCGCAAGACGTCCATTGCTTCGTCTACCCTTGACGCAGAACCACAGACCTCTCCGCTGCCAATGGTGCACGAAAGAAGGATGTGGACGGATTGTGTAAAGCCGTTATCACATTAGCTGTTTGTTGCCGGGACAAAACGTTTGTAGCAACAGTTCTGAGAAACGGCCTTTGGCGAAATAGGGTTACCATCTTCACTTGGCAAACAGGCTGAAAGCCAAACAAGAATCAGTTATCGCTCAGATTGGCGAAAGTGACGTTTCCTTTCAAGTGACATTCGCTTCTTCGTGTTGTTTTGTATCGCTCACACGCTTTTCGTTTTAAACTTTATTGTTAGTAATGGAAGATAATAGAAAGGTGATTGCTATCAAGTTAATCACTTTGATCTCCACTCTGGCACTTCATGTAACAGATAAACAACTTCTGGTTATAGCAATCAATTACATCAGTAATAGCCAAATTCTGTATACACCTAAGAATAGTTTAAAAACATGTGCTGGATAAGTCTATTTATCACACATCGCTTATGTGTATTTTCTGTTGTCTGCATTTCAATGAAAATTTGATGGCTCACTGGAAAATTTGTGATCTGGTGAAAGCATTTTCTGACTAACATTATGGCTCATAATTACTGTTCTGTCCATTCAAATGACAAAAATTTATATGGCTGATATTTACCTCCTCACAGCCAGCAGATACTATTCAGCAAAATGAAGATCAAATAAAGCATATGAATACATGAGCAATCAAACATGTGCGAGTTGTTTACTGTCCAATAGAACACTCGGTAATATACCTAAAACACATTAATTATACCAACTCTAGAAATTAGGTGTTCACATCATGAGTTTGTTTTATGGTTTGGTTTATTGAGATTACAGCAAAGCACACTAGGGCTATCTGCCTAAGGGAAGGGATGCCTTCGGGGAGGACTTTCTAAGGGAAACTGGCTCGTATACACGTTACACATGGGGAAAACCACGAAAGCGTCCATGCAGCCAGCCCGTTCGCGGGATTCGAACCTCGGACCTCGGACTGAACTACCAGTGTTCAGCGACTTTACTGCTCGGCCGCTGGTGGGCTCAGTTGGTTTTATGTGATTACCGCAAAGCCTCGAGGGATAACAACAGGAGGGATCCCTTTGTAGAAGATTTTTTAAAACTGGCTCGTATACCAGTTACAAATGGGGCAAACCAAGGAAACGTCGTGTAGTCAGCCCGTTCGCGGCATTCTAACCTGAGACAGAACTACCAGTGTTCAACGACGCTTCGGCCACTAGTAGGCCCGTGCACATAATTGGAAAGTGCAATTCATTATGTAAACAGACATGAAGGTGATAATCAGTTGTGCGCTGTTTTAAGTAATCAAATGTTATAAATGCACAGCTGTTACATTTCTTATTATTTATTAGTCATGTTTTTATTACGTAGATCATACGTATGATATAATTATGAATTAACCCAATAACAAAATGTGTACACAGTTAAAAGGTCACAAATAAAAATAAAGAGAATGCTAAAAAAAATATAGAGGAAATTTTAACGAAGGATATGTGTAGGTATGAAAATAAAGAAAGAAAAGTGTAAAAACCGTCTGATCATGATTACTGACTAAATAATTAATATTAACTAAATAATTAAACAAAACTGACTAAATAATTAATAAAATAGTAAAAGAATTAATATAATAATTAATATTTAAAGTAATTGAATAATTGATAATTAAAATAATAAAATTTAAATTTAATAAAACGTAAATAAAATAAAAATTGGAAGAGAAGCTCGCCATCCAGCGCGCCAATATAAAAAGGTGAAACGGTTAAAAGGTCACAAATAAAAATAAAGAGAATGCTAAAAAAAATATAGAGGAAATTTTAACGAAGGATATGTGTAGGTATGAAAATAAAGAAAGAAAAGTGTAAAAACCGTCTGATCATGATTCGTTGCCGATATAATTCTAACTGTCAAGCGAAACGTGACATGAGAAAAAATTCCCCGAATCCGAGGATTAGCTTAGAACAAATGTAAGTTTCTGTGCACGTCAGAATTTTCGTCCCCCCGTATTAGGTTACATTGTTCCAAAAAGTCTGTCTTTCCGTGGGAAGTCATTTCCTTTGGACTAGTACTATGGGGAACGAAAAAATTTATCCGCTCTCTCAAATTCATTGCACCATTTGGAGAACAAGCGTTTGGATTGGGAGAAAACGCTTTTCTTTTTTAAAAAGTCTCAACCTCCCTCCATCGTTTCCAAAAGAAAAGACTATACATTCAGAAGTTATAATCAATTTTTAAGACTTGCTTATTATTAAAATAAAATTTTCGAGATAAAAAGAATTTTCGGTTGAAATTGCTTTTCAGTTTGATAAAAGAACGGCCGAAGCTTTCTTATTCAGGACTCTGGTGGCTACTGTTAAAATTTATTTAAAAAAAAGAGAGAAGTACAGGAGCCAGGCTCTAGTGGGCTCCGGCACGATTTAAGCACAGAGTGGGTACACTGAAAAATGGACAATCATTTATCCCTCCTGTATGTCAACCATCAATGCATAGCGGTGTTTCCTTTTTATTTTTCTTGACAATATTTTCTCACGTTTTCCCAAATAATGCTAAACGGCCTCCACATAACGCTACATGTAGCTTTATAAATTTAGATGCCACCAAAACTGGACATATCTGAAGATTCAATTTAGATACATGAAATATATGACGTTACTGCTCCTCTTTATGTGCTAACTGGTAAATCCAAACATCACTTTTGTGTAGAATATTTCCATTATATTGCCCAACAGCAGCCAGACAATACGATCACTAAGTACTGGTAGTTTAAGTTTTGGTGAATAACCTGGCTGCACTCACCTTTTCATGGCTTTTCCCATGTGCAATATGAATATAAGCCAGTTCCCTTTAAACGGCTTGTAGAGACATTAGGTACATTTTTTTGGAAGCAGGAGAATGGAAAAATTAGCAACGCCTTCGCCCGAAATCGAACCGCGGACCACTGGAATATGCGCCCAGCATGCAGACCACCACACCACGAAGTCATGCAAAGAAGCCGGGAGAAATACCTTATATACTCTCTCTTTTAAAAGGCGACTAGGGTTTTTAGAGGACCCAATCGCCAAATCTAGGGTGTGGAGAATCATCATCCAACACTCTAGTTCGAGCACCATTTGTAGAGATATTAGGTACATTTTGGAAGCAAAAGAATAGAAAAATTAGGAACACGTTTGCCGGGAACCGAACCGCGGATCTCTGGAATACGTGCTCAGCGTGCAGACCACCACACCACGAAGGCATCTCACGTATTCTTGATACTTACATAATGGGGGAGGGGAGAATCTTAAATTCATGCATGCAAAACGTTTTAGTTACATATCTTGTATTAGTTCTACTTTCAAAATGACATCATCGTTAAGTCTATAATTCCACTTTAAAAATAACAATATTACAACAGAAAGAATTTTATGCTCTAGAAATGCAACGCCTTTATACTTTGTTATTAAGCATTATGCAATGGCATTTCAAAGGCAGTATAGTTCAGATCTACCAAGCCACCAGAGCATTCCACAATCATGGATAGTTCAAGAGCTGTCAGCCGCACTAGTGGCTGAGTGGTTAAGATTGCTGAATCCTCGAAGTTCGATTCCAGGTGAACGGGCTGACTGCATGGTTAGTTTTCATGGTTTTGCCCATGTGTAAAGCCGTTATCACATTAGCTGTTTGTTGCCGGGACAAAACGTTTGTAGCAACAGTTCTGAGAAACGGCCTTTGGCGAAATAGGGTTACCATCTTCACTTGGCAAACAGGCTGAAAGCCAAACAAGAATCAGTTATCGCTCAGATTGGCGAAAGTGACGTTTCCTTTCAAGTGACATTCGCTTCTTCGTGTTGTTTTGTATCGCTCACACGCTTTTCGTTTTAAACTTTATTGTTAGTAATGGAAGATAATAGAAAGGTGATTGCTATCAAGTTAATCACTTTGATCTCCACTCTGGCACTTCATGTAACAGATAAAACACACTTCTGGTTTATAGCAATCAATTACATCAGTAATAGCCAAATTCTGTATACACCTAAGAATAGTTTAAAAACATGTGCTGGATAAGTCTATTTATCACACATCGCTTATGTGTATTTTCTGTTGTCTGCATTTCAATGAAAATTTGATGGCTCACTGGAAAATTTGTGACCTGGTGAAAGCATTTTCTGACTAACTTTATGGCTCATAATTACTGTTCTGTCCATTCAAATGACAAAAATCTATATGGCTGATATTTACCTCCTCACAGCCAGCAGATACTATTCAGCAAAATGAAGATCAAATAAAGCATATGAATACATGAGCAATCAAACATGTGCGAGTTGTTTACTGTCCCATAGAACACTCGGTAATATACCTAAAACACATTAATTATACCAACTCTAGAAATTAGGTGTTCACATCATGAGTTTGTTTTATGGTTTGGTTTATTGAGATTACAGCAAAGCACACTAGGGCTATCTGCCTAAGGGAAGGGATGCCTTCGGGGAGGACTTTCTAAGGGAAACTGGCTCGTATACACGTTACACATGGGGAAAACCACGAAAGCGTCCATGCAGCCAGCCCGTTCGCGGGATTCGAACCTCGGACCGAACTACCAGTGTTCAGCGACTTTACCGCTCGGCCGCTGGTGGGCTCAGTTGGTTTTATGTGATTACCGCAAAGCCTCGAGGGATAACAACAGGAGGGATCCCTTTGTAGAAGATTTTTTAAAACTGGCTCGTATACCAGTTACAAATGGGGCAAACCAAGGAAACGTCATGTAGCAGCAGCCCGTTCGCGGCATTCTAACCTGAGACAGAACTACCAGTGTTCAACGACGCTTCGGCCACTAGTAGGCCCGTGCACTTAATTGGAAAGTGCAATTCATTATGTAAACAGACATGAAGGTGATAATCAGTTGTGCGCTGTTTTAAGTAATCAAATGTTATAAATGCACAGCTGTTACATTTCTTATTATTTATTAGTCATGTTTTTATTACGTAGATCATACGTATGATATAATTATGAATTAACCCAATAACAAAATGTGTACACTCTTTAGTACTCAAATACTCATCAATTATTTTTCAACTGATTATTACATACCCATAATAATTTGCAAAGAACTGATAACTATAGTTGCTGCCAATTACATAATCGTTATCTGAATTAAAAGTAACTTCAAATAAACTTCTTGGCAATGTTCATTTTTTTGTATTCATACATACATATATATATACACATCTAATAAGTCATATATTTACATACAGATAGAGAGATGCGATGTTTTAGAAGTTGTTAATATATATTTATTAGTATTAATGTAATGAATAAGATTTATATTAATGAATGTATATACAAATGTTTTTTCATCATGCATAATAATAAATCCATAAATTTTCAATGTTTCAATATGTAGCATTTACAATAAAAGTATAGTTTCTAATGTATTTATAATTCAAAAAGTATTTCATTAATAACATGAAAATAATAGACAAATTTAATGAGTATTCTCATTATTACATAAGCTATGCTTTTTTTTTTTATGCATCTTTTATGCTGTTTAAAATGTGTCACTGATTATGCAGTTAGGAGAAAAGCCGCGCATATACAAACGGATTTTAAAAAATTATTCAAATTTAAGAAATAAAATTCTATTATATAACAGTGTTATAATACACGATCAGCACGAAATACGACAAATTTGGCGAACTTTTGGCTACGAACAATTTGTAAACAATCCGAAATGCAAGAACGTCGTAAAATACTGTCAACTCTGAAATTTCCACGATTATATATTTAATGAATATATACACATTTAAAAAATGACTCAGGCAGTTGTATTACAACAAAACAGCAATAATTAAATCGGCCTCTATTTCCACCGTCCATCACTTCACAGTGAGAGCCATCGCCATATTGAAAGTTACCCGTGATCCTTCAGAAGCTGACCTTTTGTCTGATTGGTTGAACGTTCGAGGAACACGTCTCCAGCAGGAACATTTTGGGAAAAGTTTTAAAATGTTGCTCGTAGCCGGGACATGTTCCTCCTAGCTAGACGAAACATTTCTCGGAAGCCTGCCGCTTAAAGCCGTACTACTAGAATCTCGTTTCTCGGAATTGTCCCGGGTAAGCGCGCGCGTCTATAGATGTGATAACAGCATAAGGTGAATACGAGCCAGATTTCCTCAGAAAGTAATCGACAAAGAGATCCCTCCTCTTTGCTAAGTAGCCCTTGTGTGTTCTGCCATATTCAAAAACCTACCTAACCAGAAACTATAGAATGGCACTTACATCAGGGAATATAAATTTTGTTAACACATACGAGATACTGCAAGACTTTAATTCTACTGCCCATCTAATATTCAGTCACAAAGTGATGTTTCATTTGTGCAGAATGATAAACTATCAAGTTTCTGTATATGGTGCATAGAAAATTATCACATTATTATCAAACAGAAACTAAATTCCCTTAAACTGAATGTCTTCTGCACCATTTCACAAAAGTATACAGTGTGTGCTTAACTTCCTGTTTGAGAGACTGATGAATATGTTATATCTTGATGTGCTGCAGTTGCGGTTATTTCCTTAAATAAAAGGAGCCTCAGACAATTTGCTCTACTTCTGTGGCAGAGACAGATACACCTGTATCTGATAAACATCCCAACTGTTGCACTGGTCAAGAAAGTCTTCCAATTGTATGTCCAGTGACTAGTTTTCTCTGGAGGTATGTTAAAGCCAATATTTATAATTCAACATTGCTGCTTTAGTGACCATGAGAGGATAATGTTAAAATGCATGTGAGCAGAGTACTTCATGAGCTTGAATCATGTAATAAGAAGAGCATATATCAAACATTTATACTGTTATGATTAGAACTGGTAAGATTTTTACTTCAATCAGAGTAACGTTCACTTTTGTATTTGCTTTACTTTTGTGCTACCAAGTACTGTTTTGAAACCCGAGGAATCATTTGTAAGTCTTTTCCATGTCAGTGAGAATATATCTGCCAAGATAACATTTAAAATGCTATAGACATAACTGATTTTGATTTTTAAATGGGAGTAATAGTTGAAAAATATATTATGATACTTTATTACTCAATCCTATTTTTGGAATTAAAAAATATAGTTAATTAATTTCACCTCAAAGTGAGGTTTACTGTGTTTCTTGAAGAATACCTTCGATTATGTAAAAGGTTTGTTATTACTTTCTTTCTCTTTTCTCATAAATAAAAATGCAGGATCAACTTTCAGATGACTATATTATATTTCAAACAATGAAGTCTACTTTCTTTTTAAACATTTCTAATATAATTTGGAGAATTTTCCCCTCTTAAATAAAGGATAAAAGCAAATAAAGTCATCTACAACATACCAAAGGATCAGAACATGAGATAAAAGAAAAACAGTATTTAATGAATGGTAAAATATTTTACAGCTTTGTGATCATGTCATATGCTTTAGCACACTTATTACATACAAATGCATATCTTTACAGATGACTGGTAGCCCTGATTTATAAAAGCCTAGAGGCTGTGAATATAGCTACAAAAGAACTAATACTTTGCACAGTTCAATAAACAATCTGTCCTTAAAAATAATAACCTCTTTCATATGCTGCAAGCATAAGACTTCAGTTAAACACAGCATTCAAAGCCATACTAATTATAACTGCTTTAGATTTCTTTTAAACTATAATAACAAAATATAATTATGGTAATATATGAAATTAGATGAAATAAAAATTATTTGTGAAACATTTACTTCATAGAATATGGCTCTTCAGTTCAAAATAATAAAGGTTTTAAATTTGTGAAGTATTTCATTGTTTTGAGTGGCACAAAATATTGATTTAAAATAAAATCTGCTATTGCTTTTTCTCCTCAAATTAAAATGGTAAAAATTCTTTTCTACATTTATTTTAAAATTATCCCTTAGTTTTCATAATAAAACAACAAAAATTTTAAATAGTTTATGAATTATGTTTTATTCTATTTTCAAATCCTTCATAGGTTCCAGTTAGGAGAAGGGACAGTTCTCTTAAAACTCTCAACTTTTTATATGCTAGAGTAATTCTAATATTTAGAACAATTTGATTCTAATTTAAAATATTATGTGCTTTCATAAATTAAAGTAACATAGTAACATAGATATTAATGTATTCATTATTCCCTTAATACATGAGAATAATGAATATTCTAAAATAAGAAGAGTAAATGAATAATGCAAACATATTAAATTTATTTGCATTTTTTTCATATGTAAAACAGTTCTTTTCTTCATTGCACTTTTTAACCATCAGAATAATGAAACTTGCCATAGTTTATAAGGATGCTAACTACAATATAAAAATTCTAATCATTGACAAAGTCACTCAGATTATACTTTGATATAATTAACACACAACTGATAACAGTTTGAATAAACTCCGAAGATATTAGAACTAAGGTGGCACAAAATCAAACTGTAGAACTGTACAGGTTTTCAAAAAAACATATTAATAAAAATTAAACAGAAATTCAGTTTTTGATAGCTAAAGAGATTTTACCCTGAAAATCATTATTTAATTTGTAGGCAATGTAATAAAAGCAGAAACAGAAAACAAGTAAAGATGATTCCAGAAAAATATCTGAAACCTGACTCTCTCCACATTAATGATTTTGAAATGGTTAGAGAGCTAAACATTAAAAAGGAATAAAGATCCAAAACCGATATCTCTAGCACAACAAGGAGTAATTTCCATCCTTTTAAAAAGAGTGCTCTACCTTCAGTTTTCACTCATACTGGCATGACAGATGCAATGAAAAAATAACAAAAAAATACTTGTGTTTTAGGTAACATTTCACGCAATGAAACCATATGAAAATTAAATTAAAAAAATATTTATTCTTCATAGTAACTGAATATGATTTAACTTAACACATGGATTAGAATTCAATTCACCTTTAATGTAATATATTCCATTCTTGCATAAAATGTGGTCAAATGCTCATTTACCTTTAAACATTTAGCTAAAGCTTCTGAAGCCACGCAGAATGAGGCAGATCTCATACATCACACAAACCCATAATGCAATGAAATATATTGGTTGTAAGAATTTGTATTATATCCGATCTAAGGCATATTTGCCTAATCTCAAATTAATAAAATTTTAGACGTCTATATGAAGAAAAATTCACTACTGCAAGGATTACATACATCTGAGCAATTTCTTCCATACTTATACTGCTCATTCAAATGTATAAAGACATTAAAATGTATAATGCATTTCTTTAAATATGAAAAATCTAATTGCCTCCATAATGTAAATCATTCAATGCTGAAGAGTCATTCCTTCATATGGTTATTCAATGCAGTAGAATTAAACAAGCTTCCACTGTGCCCAAAAACACTGTCATTAAAAAGGAATTTTAAATCCACATGATTTAAAATTCACAAATCATAACTCTATTCAAATTATGTAGCAAATATAGTTAAAACACAGATCTAAAGAATTTTTAATGCATATCGTCAATACTTAAATGTCAAAAATTACTTAGTTAGTCTTATTAGAGAAAAAATAAACACAAACCTATTTATAACTCTGCTTTGCTTTAGCTAAGAATATATATATATATATATATGCCCTAATATTCCTCTTATTAACAACAAAGTATACAAAAATGGAAAAGATGCACCATCTCTCAAAAGCATGTGCAATTTAAAGAGTGCTTGTTGCATAAGTTCAAAATTTTTCTACATCCAACAGTTATTTACACTTAAACGGTCTTAAATGTACATAGCAGATAAATGTGAAAAGCACCTTTCTATAGGCAAAATACTCTTTCAGCAGCATTTTCTAGAATATGCTGTAATAGTAAATAACAAATAAATGTGCAAGCAAGAAAAAATAAGTTTAGAACTCTGTTATGTGCTAAGGAATGCTGTAAAATACAATGAGTGGTAATCCAATAAAAAACCACAGTAAATTGATCTAGTACTGCAGTAACTGTATAAAAAATCCATCATGCATTCATACATAAAATATATATGTAAAACAGCCCATTAAGTACATACTTTATATACAATTATTTGATATCCATCACTGATTGCAACATTTTTGCTTTAAATATTACATATAAAACTATTTGCTTCAGTATGCAGTCAGGCTAAAATCTGAAATATATCTAATTACATTTTACAGAGTTTAAATGTAATATATTGGAAGTAAAATACAACCTATTAAATGCTACCTAATTGAAATATCTTTGAAAAAAGTTATAGGAATGTTTTTCACATTTCCATTTTATATTCAATTACAATAAGGTAAGTAAATTTGTATAATTTATTTAAATACAATAAATTCCAATGTTATACAATCAACTTCCAATTAACCGGGGATTTATTAACTGGGTTACAGATTACCTGAACCTTAGCTAAAAATAAGGACAGTTTGTTTATTGCAGAATGATGAAAACCTGCTATCTCAAACAATCAAAGTAATGCAAAATTTTTGCAAGAAATACAGAAAGGAGAAGGAAATACTTGAGATAATAGCAGTGATAGCAGATTATATCACATTAACTTAAGAATTATGATTATTAATAATGCATAGTATAGAGCCATTAATCTTCTGTTTTTCAATGATTCCTAGAAGACTATGAAAATAAAAACATAGTTATTTCTGTTTTGAAGTGTGTTCTTGAATCTTAAATTTTGATTAAATTTGCATAGAACTTATTCTTTAAATTAAACTGCTGAAAATTACTACAAATAATTTTTTGCACTATTTTTCTGTTAACAACAGCATGAACTGCTAAATTTTCCTGTACTTTTTTGGGTTAATCATCATTTTGGGTTAACCGTAAGTTTTGTCCCTGGTTAGTTAGTAGTCTTCTGTAAAATTATTTGCAATTACATATTAGCAAGACTCATTATACAAAAAATGTTAATGCACAAAACATTATACACGCAATACACAACAAAATTATCAAAAAACAATATTCATTTTGTACAGAATTGCTTGAAAATAAAATTTATAACAGCAAAATATATATTAAGGTATCTTTTAAATATTTTTAATATTTTCTACATTTACCATTGTCTGCACCTTAAGTCCAGTAAAATTATCTCTGATTTGCTTTTTTTCTTCTGGCAATACATTATTTCATTTACATCAATATCAAAGAATCACATTTTTACATGTCAAATTAAAGCAATAAAATATTAGGCATAAATTTTAATTTAAGTTCCAATAACTAAACAAAACAATTACATTCCAAAGATACTGTCAAAAGTTTCACACAATACACATACTTAATCATTTTAAACAAATGAATTTATGTTTGACAGATACTTCTAGATTCTTCAAATCTTATCTTTCTTAATATCATAACTGTACTTAGTATTTAATGTCCCAGTAAAGTAAATTTTAAAGTGCCATTACAAAATAAGAGCTATAAACAAGCTGTATAAATATTACTTCTATATTATTTCAAATTTTCTTTCATTACAATTATTATAATTCAAGTTAATTCCCCCCCCCCAATTAATTCTAGTTAGGTATTCACATTTTGTTCCCAGCCAATTTTTACATTTGACAATATTTATGAAATCAAAACTAATCAATGGTAATTGTATTTAACACTTAATCTTTTCTTCCTTACTCCTTCAGAAATAATTATTCAAATTAATCAATGATTAAGTTTTTAATATCGAGTTCAATAAATTTCAGTTTAAATATTTATTTTGCACTTAATTATCTCTAATATGTATAACATATTTGAATCAAAAAAAGTCATCAAGAAACACATAAAACACTTTTGTTATTACTTGCTGATTCCATTTGTAAAACTTAAACATCTATGACATAAAATTTAGACACATCAGCTTACTTTCCAATTTAAAGTCATGTTCTGTGTATTTGATACTTTTTGATCAAGTTCTTTAAGAACGGATAATTATTTTAGTTAAGATGCATTAAAAAATGAAAATGTGAAATATCTATAAACTTTAAAATATAACATGATTTACATAAAAACATTATTAGTACAACACTAAACAGGATAAAATGTTCAGAAAATTTCCTCTTCAATACTTATGTGATATTAGAGTAGGATTTTCAAAATCGTGATCTACTTAAAAATGGACTACACAGTAAATCCTTGCTGAAAGCAGATTTGTGGCACATGATTTTGTGTATATGTGTTATCTTATTTGTCTCCATTTAATCTGCCCAGTACAAGAATTTCAATTATATGCGGTATGCTGCAGAAAACAAAATGAGTCAAATGCCTGCGCTGTGACAGTCCTCTTAATGACTGATTTGAAGACTCACTCAAACATTGCTTAGAACAGCAAAACCTGAGTTTTAAAAATATCCTAATCATAATACACGATAATGAGTTTTAAAAATATCCTAATCATAATACACGATAACAGTGTTGAAGCCCTCACAACACCACAACAAAATGTAAAGGTTTTATTCCTTCCACTGAATATCACTTCCTCAATTAAACCAATGATCATAAAACATTCAGAGTATATTATGTCAGGCATGTTTACATCTCTGTAAATAAAGCACTAGACAAAGGAAAGCACAACACAATAATGGCATTCTGAAAGCAATTCAACATAAGACACTGCACAGAAATGATTAAACTTTTACTCAACAAGTGAAGAATGCTTGCTGGCATCAACTCCCGACAGAAGTTGCCAACAATTTTAAAGGACTCCCAGCAACTGAAAATTAAGCCAAGGAAATTGTACAAATTGCAGAAGCAATAGGCAGCAAATGATTTTCAGAAACAGAAGAGAATCTAAGAATTAATCGAAAATGATGATCATGAAATGGCAAATGAAGAATAATCTTATAATATTGAAACAAAAACAGTGATATTGATGACGATAAAGAATCTTTAACTACAACAAGTTATATGAATTGTTAAAAAAAGCACTGAAAGTGTCTGATTTTGTAATGGAGATAGACCCACGTGAAGAAATGAGAGGATACTTTATAAGAGGTATTGAAAAACTTTGCATTCTTTACTGCAAAATGTTTAACGAGTTGCATCAGACATTTTCCTCAGCAAAAATATCAGTTATTAAAAAATATTTGTTTCACATATTTTTTTAAAGCAGTAACAGAAATCTTTTCATTTTACTTATGTTTCATTTTTTTCTTTTAATTTTAATAATTTTTAGTTTCTATAAATTATATACATTTTCTTAGTCTGAATTACATCTAATCTACTTTTTCCACAGAAAGTTAACTTTGTGGAATACGATTTTCCCGTATGTGCGATGTGTTAATGATGTAACCCATGCATTCAGCTAACATTTACTGTAATTCATTTTAATATTAAAATTATTTTAGCTAACATTTACTGTAATTCATTTTTAATATTTAAAAATATTATCAATATTTTCATTACTGAAACTATGTTCTAAGAAATAATCAGAAATGCATAACAAACACTTCTTTAAGTTTACAGAATATTATGAAAATAATTCTATCCATGAATCAATCTCATTAGTTCTTTTAACTTTACTTATACTTTTATAGCATATGTAAAGTTAAAAGAGTAATTTTTATGCTGTAAAATTTGAAGAGCAAAATGGAACAGGGAATTTTAAATTAAATAACATTTATGCAACTGTCATACAAATATTTTACTTATAGAACAAAATTTTGTCAGCACTGCTTGATTCCAGTTCACATGAACCATTTAGAATGACTTAAAGGAGGAGAGTTAAAAAAAAATTCTATCATTTAACTACACACTTAATATTTACTTAGAGAACATCCTTTAGTCACAACATGTATTTCATAAAATAATAAATAAAATTTTCATCATTATCTTCCTTTTAAAGAAGTTTTGATTTTCAAAATGATTAATATACATGAAAAACAATGACATATCCCAGGAAGTCATCAAATATATTATCAGATTAAATTACTTTTACACCTACACATTTACCCCCCCCCAAAAATATCCTTTACTCAAAATTTAATTTATAATTGTTATTTTCTGTCAAAAGATTTTCACTCTATTTTAGTTACATTTATCACACAGCAGAAGATTAATTCAATATGAAAATAAGGGAGTCATTATTAATATTCCAAAAAATGATTAATTAATGTGAATATCAACAGTTAGATTAACAGTTTCTTACAAAATTTGAATCATAGTTTTGAAACCATGAGGTAATTTTAAAAATACTTTTTTTTCATGAAAACTGTGTTTGAATGCTTCTTTTAAAGCCTCTCAAAATTCTAAATTCTCTGCTTCACAAAAAAGCTTTATTTTCACAGCAACACATATGTATGAAATGAGATTTAATTTAAGCAAAATTTAAATAAAATTTTAAAAATTACATATAAGGAATTTATGTGCTTGTTCTTTAGAATTCAAATCAAGTATAAATAAATGCTTGAATAAAGTCATAATCTTAAGACCCATGCCGAAATCATTCTATCTACCGAAACAGTATTATAACTTTGATTACAACATAACATATTTACATCATTAACACTCACCAGGTTTATGATATAAACCTAAAATATTCAAGAATGCATTACATTAATTGTAATTCAGCTCAAAAACCTGCTAAAATTTCAACTTAAAAAATGGGAGCACAAGCCCAAATACTTTGTTTAGACCTTCTTTTTATTAATTTAGAAGTCAAACAACAAAAAGTTTTCTTACCTTCTTTTTAGTTATTGACGTTATTTTAAAATTTTACTACATTATGCATTTAAATGCAACAAACTACTTAAAATATAAATAAATGTTTCTCATAATTCTATAGCTGCGATAAAAGTAAGAATATATTATACAAGTTACTTTGTGCATACCAATAACATTTTAAAATTATACTCAAGCAGCTTCTTAGCAATCACTGTTTATATATAAATCAGGAAACCGATGCTGTTTGAAAAGGATGTTCTACAATGATTATAAATAAAACTTATCCAAAATGCAACATATAAGTAAACTGAGAGAGCAACAATATCTACAACATTTCAAAGGAAAGTGAGAAATTATTTTCATATGTATGCTATTTTTATTTTCAAACATTACATTTTAATAATACTTACTTTAACTTCTCAATAGGCAATACTCACACTGATGTTTTTATCTGTTATATATTTAGTATCTGGATACTTTTTTATTTAAAGTAAAGTACAGGAATGTTTCTAATACCAATATAAAACTTTTTAGCTTAATGGAAGGGGCACACAGTATGCTTTATTTTTTTAGAATATTTATTTAAAAGATAACTCAGTTTGGAATTCATTTATTACCCCCATTATAGAAGAGATGAGTCCTATTATTACACTCCAATGTAATACTTTTTTTATCAATGCATACTTCGCACTGACACATCATAAAGAATATATAAAAGGTCCTTGCATCAATTATTATTCTGAAGGAAACAACTATTTTGCATATTTCAGTAAATCTGTTTCACAGATTTTAAAACTTTCATTTCATAAAAAGACAAACATAATACAAAGATGATTTTAACATTTATACAATAAATAAATATTTTTCTGCATTTTCTCTCATCTTATTCAACCTGGATAGAGCATTTTCTGATGTATTTCAACAATATTTTTATATATATGACATAGAAAACACTCATTTACCAGATGTATAATAAAATGTCCTTGAATAATAGGGTGATCTAAAATCGGCAATACATATTCTGCACTGTGATGCAAATTGGTACACATTGCATAGTCACAGGATTTCTTCCATGGTAAGGTACTTGGGTGCTGTACATCTAAAAATAAATTCATTATGTTAAAATGATCAAATATAGAAAAATGCAGTTTACTATAGATATATATATATATTCTTTATTCAAAAGATTTTACCCAATCTGAGTTTTCTCTAACTCAAAATTACTTTCTATGGCGAAAAATATCTTGGAGATGGGGGGGGGGAGCTGTTGTAAATAGGAATGAAGTTTTTCGCTTGTAGCTCTAAGTACAACCCTGTTAAGACAACCCTACCAATTCTATATAAAGAAATGCCATTACAATCCAAAAGTCTATCTGAATAAAAATTATGTCAACTAGTGTAGCCTAAAATAATGAAAACATCTTACAGCTCAAAATTAAATAATTGTAGTCTGAAAATTATCTAAGCATATGAAAAAATGTATCATAATGATTTATACATGCCTTAGTTTGACCTTATCAAATATATAACATTTATGATAACATAAAGTTGGGGAAAAAATTGTCCTACTTAAAGATTCAGCTATTCTTTCAGGGAATGAATGAATGAATGAGTATGGAGAAACAGTTACCTTCGTTTTGAATCAGGATATTCTTGCTATATATACAAACTTATAAATAACATTATCTTGAATTCTGAGTGTAACTCAATATTTTAGTGGCGTAAAAATGAAAATTAATAAACTTTGTGAAGGACTGGACCAGTGAGACTCAATAACCTTATTCATAAGTCATAAATTTCAAATAATCCTATAAATAGAAAAAGAATTTAATAAATGTTGAAACCAAAACACTTCAAATAAGCAATACCCAAATTAAAAAAATTAATGAAATTAAATGGGAAAAAACATAATAGAAGAGGAATTCAGTCAACTTCATTGCCATTTCATCAGGAGAAGGAACACTGAAATCAGTTGAAATCTCTCTTCCACAAAAATCCTTGCCTTTCTGTATCCAGAGTTAGCCTATGAACCATTTCAATATATTTCAATTACAATAGTTCATCCAAAAATTCTGGCCCCTCCCCAACAAAGCACGGAAAAAAACAAAGTAAATTCTAATCAAAATTTTTACCTTTACATAGAGACACTTTATTCAAAGAATTGAAAATGTAAATGAAATAATAAAATATTTTAGTGAAAAATTCAAATCAAAATTTTACTAAAACAAAGAGAATTTATCCAGAGAATTGAAAACATTAAGTAAAATTATAAAAAACTTGAGTGAAAAGACTTAATCTAAATCGAATTGAAATAAAAAATTTTAAATCTTTTAGATTATTTTTGAGAATTTTAATAAGGAGCAAAATTTCACGTTGTAGATCTATTGTATCTGTGCAGATATTTTTAATTCGTTGTATTTGATTTATTATTGTATTGTTAATTACTTTTTTGGATATGTTGGAATTCCAATTTATTAATTTGTTAGTATTGAAATTGAAGTTTCTTGTTTTGTCAAAAAGTAAAATTTTTTGTAGGTAATGATTTGAAGATCTAGATAGTCTTTGCTTTTTTGTGAAATATTAGTTTTATTAAGTGTAAGACAATTTAGATAAACCTCAGAGTGTTCAATTTTATTAAAATTATTAATTGTAATAAGATCATCAATATACCTGTAAGTGTGCTTGTAGTAATTTAACTCTTGTAGTTGTAGATTTTTTTGGAAGTTAAATTCTTTGATAAATAAAAAGATATTACAGAGCGAGGTACTGTAATGTGAGCCCATTGGCAGACCTCTGACTTGTTTAAAAAGTTGATTTTGAAATTTGATGTAGTTATGAAAAAGTGTGCATTTTAAGTAGGTTTTCCATTTGCTAAGAGTCATAATTGTGAGCATATCAGGGAAGAGTTTAGACAGATCTAGTAGACTAGTATAGATTTCTTCCAGAGATTTCTTCTATTTTCTTTCTTCTCTTTTGTAATTTTCTAATGTTTATTTCAACTACTTTGAATTCTATTTCATAATAACAATTTCCAATGTTTAATTTTTACAAATAATATTGAACTCAAATGCATAAACACGAGGGTGTCGGGGGACGGTTACTCGAGCATTATCAAATTTTACTGCAGAAATTGCTTTTCACTCAAAATTGAATTAGCTAAAATGCTTAATAGGAATGAGTTCTTTGGATATCAGCATTGGTTCTTAATCCCTTCTATTCACGGAAATATTTGGCCTGACTTGAATTGCCGGTTTGGCTTCGCCTTATTGCTCGAGTAAAGGACGAAACACCTTCGTATTTATTTCTTAATTATTGTTCATTGAACGGGAGTTGGTTTGTTCCCCTTGAAAAGTCAACTAATTTCCGATCAATGACAATGATTACGTGCATTTAACTTAATTATTGACTTTAATTTATTCCTTTTACAATTGAAATTTGTTATTCATGATTTTATTCCAGTCCCTGTTAAACATTCTTAACAATTTACATTAAAGTTACTTCAAAACATCTTTCAAAATAGAACTTACTAAGTATGGATTCACTATTTTAAGATAATACTACTATAATTAAACTTGGGAGATAATATAATCAATATTATTTAGTAAATATATATATATATAATAAGTTTGCACTTCAGTTACATACTGTGTATTTAGGTAACCAATGCTCAAGTGTGTAGCTAAACTGTCAGGAAACAATAGGAATTTTATTCTAAAATACAGAGAAAAATATGTACTGCATAAAGATTTATTTTTGAGCCCCCAATGACTCCTTCATAGTGTATTATATGGAAACCATGACAATTAAAATAAGTATGCCTGTGCAACAGCTTACCAGCTTGTATGACATGACTGTTGCCCAATGATCACAAGCATGCATGGCAGATGATATGTCAAAAACATCTTTTCACCTATTAAATTGTGGCAGAAAGATGTCCTGAATGCACCATAATGAACCAGAGAGTAGAAAACAACTGATACTGTGGAAGCACCGTTATCTCCAACTTTTCTCAAAATACTCAAGCCACACTGGTGCATTTTGAAGAAAAAAGAGTACAATTCCGAGTAGCAATCAATACAGCAGCATGCGAGAAAATAACTACAGCCTGCAATATGGTTGAACAGCCAGGGACTTCTTTCTGTAGAAGTAATATTTTTACGTTAACACCCTCCTCCAGTTGGCTACAAAGTCAGTGGCTATATGCTCTGAAACATGAATTGCTGAGACAATGTCTTATTACAAATAAAAATTGGCACCATCAGATTTTCAACAGAAAGGACAATTCAGATGGCAGAGACATAATTGAGATAATGCAAATTTAGTTAAATGTAACATCTAAAAGCTTTTTCTCAACAGCATCTTCAAGTTTGTGGATAGCATGTTGTCAAGTAAAAGAACTGCATTCAAAATGAAACCTAATAATTTTTTAATATACCTTCTAAAATATTTAATATAAAATTCCTATTATTTACTGAATTTTCAACATGCAGAACTTGAAATAAGAAACTACTGGAGAGAAACAGGTTACCCTGTAAAGATCAAACTAAAATTTTCAAGCCTATAGCCAGCTGAAGATGTAAACCGGTCTTTTATACACATCAGAATTTAAATCTTATATTTTCATGCATAGTTTATTTATTTATTTATTTACTACTTTAAATCTATTAATGCTATAAAGTACAATAATAACAGTGATCACAGAAAAACTCAAATATCAAATCCTAAGGAAATTAGTCTAAAACGATTAACAAAACAGTAATCAAAACTCTGGCCTTTCAGAATAAAAATAGCAAGCTCATTACTTACATAATAAAAGTAATATTCAGTGCATTGACCTTTTAGGAGGAAGATTTGTTTCACATTTCAGTCTTCCAATTTTCATGTTAATATTTCCTACTGTGGTCTAGAAAATGTTTTAAAAAAATAAAGTTATGTTTGATACTCAGCTTAGAAAAACAGCTTAAAAGAGTTATACACATGAAAAAAAGTATTTGAATAAATATTAACCTATACAGTATCAGGCCTACTTATCATAACTAATTTTCAAAATTAATTTAACCACAGTATAAAATATAGAAAACGTGAATACAGCAGTAAGTTGTCCTGATACAAAGGAATGCCAGTGTGAAATAGCTTTTTTTAATTATTATTTCAAGAATTTACAATAAACCTTCAGTTAAATTGTTAACATAAGGCATAAAAGATTATTTCAGTCTTTGAGATAATGAGAGGACACAGTCTAATGTGAAAATACAAATTTTGTTTACTAGTTACAGCAAAAAATAAATAATTAACACAATACACAAGCTTACAAAAGGCAAAGGCTTTCAACTGGTACATTATCTGACAACAACATCAGTAAATCATGTGATTTGGATTCAGTTCTTGGTCAAAATGAACCCTTGATACTAAAAATAGTAAATATCCCCTGTATCTTAAGATGAGGGTCTCATAAGGTGCCTTGTTTTCCAAGAGGTCCCTTAACATTGTTTTTAACAGTAAATTAAGTAAATAAACTTACTGTTAAAAAATAATGTTTTTAAGTAAATATACTTCTACCAATTTTGTATATATGTAAATAATTTTAGTGAAGCTATGTTTAAAATTGTAGTTTCTTTTGTATAATGTAACATGAAAGGTCTCAAGAGCGAAGCTTCGTAGGAAAAATAAGGTTACAGCAACAAGTGCATTTAACATTGAGGTAAATGGCTATCTTGCCAAATTTGCAAGAAAATGCCAAGCTGGTGATAGTTTTGGCAAATAACTTTTGCTGCCAAATTTAATGAGAAATCGCTAAAAGTCGCGACACTTGGCGATCATTTGGCGTCATTTTGCTCCAGTCCCTGTATAACTGTAACTGATCCCTATATGTAACTGTATCTGACCCTTACATGCAACTTAAACTGTTTATGCCTTCCAGTAATTTCAAGAAATGGAAAGTTCTCAAAATTTCTGAATGGCTGGGGAAGAATATATAAGACCGGAGAGAACATCGGTTCTCAGTTCCTTTTAATTCAGAATTGACATTGGGGTATTGAGAGATCACTTTGGAAGCTTGATACATTTGAAGCTTTATATATATCGTATTCAACATTTTGAGTAGTTTGAAGTGGCAACTACTGATTGTGCTCTGTCATACTGAGAAGAAGCTATACGAGTACTTTTTTGGAAAGTTCCAGAACTGTAGAGTGCTTTTTCCCACTTTTCTAGGAAAATATAATTTTATGAAGTTATTATCATTTTTGTGTGATTTCAATTCTTACAAAAGCATGCAATAATACTTTATACCTTAATATGAGAGCTTTTTAGAGTTCAGGTGAGACATTCTACTTCATTAAATTTGCAATCAGCAATTGCATATATCTTAAATGTGAGAAGAAATTTAAATATTAGTATACAATAAGCTTACTTTCAATAATATAGCAGCCAGTTCTTGGTTAGCTTCTCGTAAATTTTGGCCATTTACTTCTAAAATTTGATCTCCTTCCATTAATGTACCATCTATATCTGCTACACCTCCTTTTATCTACAAATATGATAGTCAGAATAAAGTCAAATATGTAATGTATATTTATGTTGCAAATCTTTAAGATGAGGCATTCTTTCATAGACTTATATTTATTTCACATTTCAGTAGCATAAAATTCAGAAATAATCTTATGGATACTATCAAAATAAAAATCTACCACTAATGATCTTTTTACACGTCCTAACTATAAATTCACTTCAGTATAGTTCAACAGATTTTCTGGTTTTATACCAAAATCCCTCAAATTTTCTTGTTTAACCTTGCAGAAAGAAATTGTTTTTTATTTTAACTTATACAGTCAAAAGTCGTTAATTCGGACCTCAAAGCTAAAATCTTACTGCGCATGCGCCGCGTTGACACATGCGCATAGGCGTTTTACGCGTGCGCGCAAGACATTTACGACTGCACATATGCGTCTGCGCAAGCGCAGAATACGTTTTCGCGTGCGCGTTTAATTTATAATGGACGGTATAAGCTAAAATTATCTAATTATCTATTTCAGTTAATGTTGATGATTGCGTTGTTCCTTAATCTTCGAATTGGATCCGGCTTATTATTTTTTGCAGACTGTAAGAGCAATTTTATAAAAGTAAGCTTGAACTTTCGATTATGTCAAATAGAATTTCCGATGCTGGAGCTCCCAAAGGATCTAGAAAACGAAAGTATGTTTCGATGTCCATCAAACAAAAAGCAAATTGCTATAAAAAATGGATAAAGGCATATCCTTTGTTTATCTAACCGTTCCGAAATCTGTTTATCAATTTCACGCTGCTCTGCGCGTGGGGGGGGGGAACGTTGTGGCGCGCAATGAACTGGAAGTTGTTCTGTCAGCACTATCCTTACCTTCAGGGCAGATGTTTTTATTTTATTCAGCTTATAATTCCTTACTAAATGTAGTATTTAATCTCATTTACTTCGTCTTTGATATGATTTAAATCAAATTTCTCGTCATTATAAATATCACGAGTACAAATCAAATAGTTTTCTGGTTGCAATTTTCTAATTTCGGCTATGCGTAAGGTATGCTTTACGCAATCGCGCATTGAAAGAAATGTTTAATAAAGTAAACAAATAAATATTAAGCTTCTTTTCTTGTAAATTTTGATACCCTTTAGATCATAATTGCTCATTATTTTATAAATTACAGTTTCATATTTTTAATTTTATAATTTCTGCGTGCCATCTTGCCAGATTTAAACTGATGATCTATAATCCGGAAAAATCGATAATCCGGAATCGCCGAAGTCCCGACGAGTCCGGATTAAAGACTTTTGACTGTATACTTTTTAATTACAAATACACTAATTATTTTAAATGCAAGATTTATCTTATAAAATATACAAAATAGTAGCATATTATTATGTATTACATAGTAGAATCTTTTATATCTGTACATCATGAGACAAAAAGTTGAACAAATCAAAGAATTTTTTTTTTTTTTTTTTTTTTTTTTAATTACATGTAGATCATTTGCACATAAATAACTAAAAGAAACTGATGTATTAAGAATTTTTAATACAAAGCCATTTTATTTGTATTATAATTATATACATGCATTGCTGCAATAAATAATTACTTCTATCAAAATTGTAAAAACAACCTTGTATTTAGCGTAAGTATATTGAAATAACTTTCACTACTTATGCTAAATACAAGGTTGTTCTTACGATTTTGATTGTCACATTAGCGTGTTTCTCTTCTAGTCTAATTACTTCTATATTTTTGGAATATCATTTCTATCATTGCTTGTTTCAATATTTTAAATTTCCTTTTCCGTATTTTTTCCTGAAGCGCACATAGTGTCTTATTTCTAGTGTGTTACATCTTTTCTCCTAGAAACTTTACATACTGTTGGCCATATGCTAAACCCTCATTAAAAGTAATATTGCTTTTTTGTAACTAGTATCGGAATTTTCACCAACTGCATTTAATACACTGAAATAATTTCATCAGTCAGCTGTGATGTAATATGAGCCTCATTTTCAGGAGTCATTCAATCTAAAATATTTTCTTCTCTTAAAACTTCAGGCAAATCTAAGTTCCATTTTTGGCAAACAGAATAATTCTGCTGCTTTTGATGCAATAGTATGACATCTAAAAATTCTGCACTGTCACAGTTTCAGTAAAGAGTTTCAGTGGCCACACAGTGTTCATTTATGAACCATTTTTTGAAAAATACTCATGAGTAAAACATTTTAACAGGCATGAAACATTAAACGAAAAACTAAAGAAAAGCACATATTTACATTTACTTAACTATAGTATGGAGCTAAATACAATTCAAACACAAAATGAAAACAATGCGAGTATACAGGGGAATGCCGTAGACAGACAGGATAGATGATAGGGAAATTTTCTGAAGTGTGAAAGCGCTCTTTTATAAAAATGCAATAAAACATTTTATATAAACAAAACTGCAATATCCACCAATAAAATTACTTTCAAAATAATTTTTAAGCTCTTAATTGTAAGCAAAAATATATAAAATATAGCTTTCAAATATCCCATTTGTTAAGTTTTCCCAGAAGTGAGACCCTCTGCTATTTCTGTCATTATGTTCAGAACATATCTGTTATTAACAGTTATAAGTATTACAACTGAAATTATAGATTTATTTTAGAAAATTCTCTATTCTTCAGCTCCCTTTTTGATTGTCTTTTCTTTGTTTTGCATGCCAAGAAAATCTTAAGCATCTAATCCTATTCACTTTGGGCACGTTGTAAACAAACCCATAATGGCAGGGCTTAGCAACACTGCATTTAATGTTTGAGCTTAGAATATGAAAAAGATGGGGAATAAATTCCTGATATTTATTTACCATACATATTAAAATTAATTTTAAAAGATTGTAGAATGTCTGCTTGAAAGCAGAGATTTATCTAAAACAAAATATTTGTTGAGATCAATGATCAAATCTCCATGTAATAATAATAATTATAACAAAAATTGCTACTATCAATGCAGAAAAAGTTAAATAACTTTTAATAAAATAAATCTGCTTTTTTAATGAAAATATGTAAATGTAGTATACTTTTGTTAAAACATTTATTTGCAAATACATGTAATAAAATTTGTTGATAAATTTGCCTCCATGCTGAATTTTCAGTTTGCTTACATTTAAAAACACGCACAGATTACAGGTATTCATGAATTATCTGAATTGTACTATACTAGCATCTATACTGTTCCTCAGACGACATTGCTGGAAGGTATGATACTGATGATACCTGCAAAAAACACTAATGCTATGAGACACATTGATGGGTTTATCTGAATTCTACTATACTAGCATCCTTATTGCTCCTCAGACAACATTACTGGAAGATATAAGACTGATGATATCTGTCAAAAGCACTAATGCTGTGAGATATATTTATAGGTTTTACACTTCATTATCTTAAGTTCAGCTTTTCTTTCTGACAGGATAAAATTTACAGGGGTAAAATTGAAGGGATTTTCTAAATAAATGCATTCTTAATAAGTACATAAAATCTTTTTCATTACATAACCATATTTCTTGCATACACATATTTCTGAGCAAATCTATTACAATTTTTTATATTATACTATTTTTTAACCACTATTTCCTAAGACCCTAAGTACAGTTCCTAATGAATAGGAAAAGATATTAAACCATTTTAATAGATTATTTGTAATAGATTAAACACTGACATAAATATTAATATCTTACTACATCTAGTCATGTTCATATTAATCCTTAAGTGTTACGCTTCACAGATAAATTTCATTTTGTGATAAATATTCAGTTTGGAATATGATGTTCTTGTGGAAGAATAAATATAAATGATGATTATAAAGCATTTGAACCAGTACTTTTTTAACATCAAAATGGATCAATACTGCTTCATAAAAGCTGTGTCTTAAACTAACTGCTGAAAAAAGGATTTGCAAAAGAAAGAGAAGTTTCAGGTCATTAAATCTTTTTTTCACTTAAAAGTAAACAAAGTAATAATTGGTCAACAAACGTCCAAAGTACAAATTCAGTAAATTCATAAAATTTCTTTAAAAATTTTCAGAAAATTTCTTAAGAATTTAATGACAAAATTAGATGTCCCAACTATAATATTTAAATTTATCTCAATATGGGTCTGTTTTAATTTTTTAAATAAAAAGTACTTTATAATAAAAATGAATGAATGAATTTCACCTAATTTCATATTGCTGTGTTGTTTCCTTGATTAATTATTCTGTAATATAATAATAAAAATTCATAATTTATAATGACTTGTAAATATTCAGTCAGCCAGTCAATAAAGGAATAATAAACATTACAACTTCTGATTCAACAAATATTGAAATCAAGCTATACTTAAGTATTATGAATACTGGAATAAAACTCGATGTTTCATTGAGTTTTATTCCAGCACATTATTTACCTTTTTCTGTTGACTGAAACAATTTTAAGTAAAAGATAATATAGGATAATTAGTCTACTTTGTGCTTTGTGACAGAGAACTAATAACCAACTAAATAAAGTTCAGCGTATAATTTTGAAGTCACAAAAAAACAAGTTTTAATTCAAACAAAAATTTGTCCTCAGTAATACTTCTAATTCTAATATTAAGTATATAATCTCAGTACAATTTTAAAATATCTAAATTGCATAACTTGTATTACAGCTATAGAAAGCCCTCCAACCTGAAGTCAATGGGCAGAAATTTATCCATTTAATGAGTAGCACATGATATTGTTACGTTTTTCTTCTGACAACAGTTGTTACGTTATTTTCTTCCTTCACATTTGTATGGGTTCCGTGTGGATTTGGAGTGAATAATGGCAACACTATTTGATGGAATATCGAAACACACTTCATTTAGCCAATATTGATCAGGATAGCTCCAAAGTCACTTTTTACAGTCGTCGAAGATCTACAGTACACTTGCTGGAACAATCAGCGACACAGCCTTCACACTGTCAGGCAATAACGGTGGAGACAGCTTCACTGCAAAGCAACAGAGTACAGCTCCCAACTCTGTTCAGTCGTTCTCGGAACTCTCGAGACTCTCCATGCTACAACTTGGGATGCACTCGACGACACACAGAGCACAGCTCCCGACTCTTCGGTTCAATCGTTCCCAGAGCTCAACACACTCTCTCAACGATGCACTAACCACGATACACTAAGAGACTCTTTCGATGCATTTGACGACCTACACGGCACTCACTGCCTGGCTGTCAACTCTATCGACTCCGCAGGGATTGACTCGCTATACGAGACACCAACTCGATACTAATTAACACTCCGCATATAACAGCAAGGTTTATACAGCTTTTGCTTTGTGTTTCAGAACATTCTGGGCTAAACCGGTAAGAATTCGTTCCAGAAGGTTCTTCATCCATCCATGGCATATTGCCAATTTTGACGCCAAATGGGCGTTTTCTCACCAAATGTGGCAACCCTGCCCTCCTTGCTATTTTATGACAACCCTAAAACTGCTTTGCGGGGAAGCCATTTTACCGCGCCTGTACATTTCATAACAATAACAGCCAAGAGGTGATTGACAATGAAAATGAACGAGCAGTTTTCTGTCCAGGGAACGATATCCACTTGATATTCCCAAAGAAAGATAAGACAGTATTTTGAAAGCCTGCATACTACCTATTTCAGAAGATTTATGCGTGCACGTCTCCAAAAGGCAGAAAAATTTTCCATTAGTTATTTAAATTCTGACTCACATGTGGTGAACACAGCAGCAAGGACTATGTCAAATTATTAAGCATTTTCAATTTGATCTATGCATATTACGTAGAAAATAAAAAGGAGATTAAAATACATTACAAAATTAATTTCAGAGTCTGTTTATTTAGTACACAGAGCTATATAACAATTTAGTAGTAAACATCAAACAGAAATGCAAAAGACCTATTTTAATCAATAACAAATGGCAATTCTTAGCTTACTACTTCTGAAATATATACTCCAGGAGCATTTTCTCTTCCAACAATACTAAGTCCCAAACCTCGGCCAGGTTTCTTATACAGCTGAACATTTAACTCAATCAGAGATGAATTCTCTTTGGTTTCTTTATGCCTATAAACACGAATAGTAACAACAGGAACAGAATGTCGGAGTGCATTGATGGCTTCTATGTGAGTAGCATGTCTCATATCATGACCATTAACCTAAAAAATAATGGTGAACATTTTATAACTGTACTTGCATTTCACACATCAGAAACTAAATTATAGAATATGTGAGAATTTCATATGAAGATAATTCAGTATAAATGAAATCAGTACTCAGAACATAAACATATGCCATTAGCTAACTATCAGATTCATTGCACTAATGTTTTTCAAGATTGCAATGGTGTTATTAGTAAAAGACCAGATTCCCTTTTCAGTCATTATGGAGTTAGTTTTCTATTCTCCTTGGTATGTGATTATAAATTACTGTGGAATGCTGTTGATGTTAGAATCATGATAATCCAGTTTTCCCATTTTTTTATGATGTTATATTACACATTGCAGCATTAATTAACTGCTATTTCCAACCTTAAGGAAGATGATACCTTTATCTTTCGAACTAAAACAACATATTATCAATGTAACAAAGATATTTAAAAACTATATGCATACTTCTTCCCAATTTTTATTCCTAATAACACATTTGATAAAATTTATAATGTGTTTAATTGGTAATTTTATAAGCATTTTCATTACAATGCCAATAATAAAAGAAGTTTCTAAATATGTGTTCAGCAATGTATCGTAACTGCAATAACAACTTGCCTATATGTAACAATGAGTTTGTTACATGTTTTGCACTTTTGTTTAGCATTTCTATTCTTCTTGTAGCATATCAAAAGTTGATTAGTAGCAGCTAGTCAATATGTCTCCCAAGCAACCACTGCTTTAGTTCATGCTGAAGACATTCAAAGGATTGAAGACCATACAGTAAAACCATTTTACATGCAAATCTTTAAACAAGAAAATCTTTAAACAAAGAAATTAGAAATTTTGCTTTTTATAAGATATAACTACAGTACCCTTTATTAAAATCCTTCTGTTCCAGACATATTCGAGTTTATCAAGTGGAGTAGTCATACTTGAGTTTATCATATTTGAGTTTATCGAGTTAAATGACACAACAGGTATAGTACGTCCTTAGAGAACTTCCTGTTATCTTGGAAATGAACAGCATCACCGTGAAGGGCAGTGAAAGTAATCAAGAAAAATTCGTTAAAGACAATCCCTCCCCTTCAGCTTTGGTGGGTTTCTGTAAAAAGGTAGCTCTTGTCTGAGAAGTGCCAAGAAAGTAAGACGCATCATGCATTGAGAGAGCTGTTGTCTCTCCCTTTCTGTAATAATTCTGTAATATCAATTTTTAACTAACCAAAAACCCTATTTTAAGTTTTCAAATAAATATAAAAAAGACTTAGTTTTTCCATCCCATAAGCTCGGCAATGTTACACTGAGTTTAATAAAGGACGGTTTCAATATTCCAAATTACAGTATCAACTTTAAACTTTTAGTAAGATAGTATCTAATAATTAATACCTAAATTATTAATTAAAATTTAATGCTGAAATTAAACTACCTGCAAAACTTGGAAATTTATTTTTTATTTATTTTTTATTAAAAAAATTTTTAGAATTATATACATGACGAAATTTTAAACTTTTACAAAAAACTGCTCTATGCATATTTGTTTCACACTGTTCATCCCCACCTTTTCTATTGCATTTTAAAGGTTGTAAAACTGATGGTAGATTTTCTGATCTCCACTTTTAAATTCAAAAGTTCTTCAAGATTTAAAGTTTGCAGTGCTTTTCTCGATTCAACTGAGGTTGACATGTAGTCACTTTCTTCTGTATCACTTTCCCAGTCAGTTTTAGTTTCTGCAGCTCTTTTAACACTTTCTATAATATCTTAGCTAGTGTTTCCACATGCTGTCCCAATATTACCATCAATGCAATGTATTCTAAAACTGAATCTCTGTAATTTCCTTCACTGATATCTGAAATATTAGAAATAGTTTGCAATTCCTATGTGGCTTATTCTAAATAAAAATCGCATTTTCTAGACAAGTTTCAACTAGTGTTTGGGAGACCACTTCCCATGCATTGATGCATATGCATAGCCTCTAGCAAAGTTATCAACTTAGTTATTTCCTTCGTGCTTACATTTTCACAAGAGTCAACTTTGTTTTTCTTCATATGACACCTTTTGTGCAAGTAAATTTGAAAGCTTTTATAATACCTTGGTCTAAAGGCTGAATGATAAGAGTCCGTTTACAGGAAGAAACACTAATTTAATGTTTTTCAGAATGATATCAAAGAGGTGTGCAGCACAGTTATCAAATATTAAAGCTAAATTTTCGTTTTTCAATTCTCTGTTCCATTTCAAAAGGATTTGCAGAGTTCGTATACATTTCTGCACACGGAAATTACGTACTTTTAAGGACCATTAATGAAAAAAATTAAGTTCCTATGAGCAAATGGGAATTGAATAAATTCAATTAAAATATTATCTATGCCTGAACTTCATTCTTGTAATACCCTCCTAAAAAGAAAATAGATCTGGAAGTAGGATGAATTATTATTAAACATGAAATAATTAACATATTTATTAATAAGTTTGAGAATAAAATCAACTTTATAAAATGTATCAAGTAGCATTAAATATTTTACACTTATAATGGACATATTTGAAAGACATTTTATTTATGTTTTACTAACAGTTAGCTTTATGTTGACTTTTTGTCACATATTTGCTCAGTCTAGAGGTTAAGTAAATAGCAGGTAGATTTTATGTTCAAGCGGCACCAGGGGTGTTTGTGGGACCCCAAAAAATCCCCTGAAACTTTTACGGACTTACTAACTGACATTTTGGAGTTTCGAGAAGGGGGGGGGAGAAATGAAAAATTACAATTATGAAGTATTGAATGACCTAATTATTAAAATTCAATGAATTACTTTTTTTTCAAAGTTAATAACCATAAATTTTCAAACATATAAACTACTACATTTTATGTAAATATTTTAAATTACTTGAATTAATTCTTTAAAAAAAATTATCTAATTTCTGCTGCTTTTTTTTATTTTCTGATGTTTGTGGGCTTTTGTGGTGAACTTCATAATTGCAGGAAGGTTGACTTTTATTTTCCTCATACACTTGAAGAAATTTCCTCGAGAACTGCACATGCAGAGGTAGATGCAGTTTGCTTTTCTGCTAATGTAGAAGGTTTTTCAGAGACTTTTATAGGTGACTCATCTGAAATACATGTTTTTAAGTCCTCTTGATATGTTTTCCAACTTCTGTTCATATTCAGTAAGAGATCTTTGTGAATTGGATCAGTCATTGGATTTTTTGAGCCATTATTTTTCACATGATGTTTCTTTAGAAGCCATTAAATCATATTTAATAGTCTGCACTGCATCTAGGGAATCAATCTTAAGAGAGGTTCTTTGGTGGTCGTGTGTGCTTAATGCATGATATAATTAAAGAAAATAAGAGTAGACAATCTCCTATAACAAAAGAATATATTAAATACTAAATTACAATTTAAATTACGTTGCAGAGATCAACACGGAGCTCGGAACACAGTTCGTGCTAGCGTCGCGTACACTTGTCCGACGAGAAGTCTGAGTGAGTAAAGATGTCGTTTTGCTGCTCCGATTAAGAACTGGATTTTACACGTGGCGCCATCTCATGAATAGAAGTTGAAATATCTGTCGGAACGCCACAGTACTGCCCCCCAAGTACCATCGGTACGTTATAAGTACTTTGGGTTAAATTTAACCTTTCTTCCAGATCTGGTAGTTTTAGGTTGCTCTTTAACGGGATGTAAGCTTTCTTCCGGGAGTGATGTTGATGAGGAAGTTGTTGGATCTTGCATTAGAAATGCTGGTTTGAGGACGATCGATTCCAATCACTGATTGTTTGCCATTGCAGATGATGGTGATGAAATGTTTCGGTGTTCGTTTGACAACTTTGAATGGACCATCGTATGAAGGTGTTAAAGTTGGCTTGATTGCATCGTTGCGCACGAATACGTGTGAAGATGTCTCAAGCGCAGGATGTACAAAATAGCTTGGCTGGTTATGCAAAGATGCTGGGGTTGGCGAGATATTGCTCATGGTCTCACGTAAACGTTGAAGGAATGTTGGAGGGTCGATAACTGGACTAGATTCTGGGTGAAAGAATTCACCTGGCAGACGGAGGGTAGCACCATATAACATTTCAGCACAAGTGCTACCAATGTCTTCTTTGAATGCTGTGCGAAGACCAAGCAAGACTAGGGGTAAGGCTTCTGTCCAGTGTGTGCTACTGTGGCACTTCAGACCTTGTTTGAGAGATCGATGAAAGCGTTCCACCATCCCATTTCCAGATGGATGGTATGGTGTTGTGCGAATATGGCGAATGCCAAGAAGAGAGGTGAGGGATGCGAACAAGTGACATTGAAATTGTCGGCCTTGGTCAGTAGTGATGGTGGTAGGCATGCCAAATCTTGAAAGCCACTGGGAGATGAATGCTCGAGCTACAGTTTCAGCGGATATATTTTCAATAGGAATGGCTTCAGGCCATCTTGTGTACCGATCAATACAAGTGAGGAGGTAAGTGTAACCATTTGAAGGAGGCAATGGGCCAACCAAGTCTAAGTGTACATGATCAAAGCGTCTTGCTGGAAGGTTAAATTGTTGAATGGGACTGTGAGTGGATACTTTACACCGTTGACATCTAATACATGAACGAGTCCATTCTGTGACTGTCTTGATTCATTCGCTGGCCAGACAAATCTGTCTGCGATCAGCTTTTTGGTGATGCACGGATTCCAGGATGTGCCAAATTGTGCAAGGCATTAAACACTTCACGTCTAAAATTGACAGGAATATAGGGACAGGTATTCTATTGTTCTCTATGTCACAGTAAATTTTAAAGCGTTGGATCAATGTGCAGTAGTTGTAACGGTTGTAATTGAAGGGAGGTTTGTGGATTTGAGATTAGGTTCTTGAGTTCCTCGTCATGCAATTGAGCTTTTGCAATTTCAGAAGAAATCTGGGAGTAGTGAGGTTGATATTGTTTATCCGAGGACAAAGGCATCAGCGACACAATTATCAGTACCAGAGACATATGTCTGATATCTGTACTAAACTGGGCAATAAAATCCAGACTGTCGA